CGCCCCGCCACCGCCGTGCGCCACACCTGGCCCTGCCCTGGCCCACCTGGCCGCACCCTTTTGCAGCCCCCTGCTCGGTACAGTCCGCCCGCGGTACGCCTCTGACGCCGCGCCCGAGTTGCTCCAGCGTGTTGAGCTGGACGCGCGGTAGCTTCTGTGAGAGCTGTTTAGGTGTTCCGGCGTTCCGGGTGCTTCATTCGAGGTCAAGGTGGGTCTCCCTCGACCGCGTCCTCCGCGCTCCATGTCGCCTCGAACTTGTTGTTCAGCGGGTTAGATAGCGGGTGGGGGTTGGGGATGAAGGCACGTTGCCGCGAATGGACTATACGCGGCACGCGCCCGCACAGCTGCTGTGGGTGCAGGCTGCATCCTGCGCCGCTTGAATGACTCGGTTGCCTGGCAACGCCCAGTACTCGGAATTCTCCCGTTGATCCTGCAGGGCAATCAACCTCCAAAGTTGAAACGTGAGCCGTTTTTAGCGAAATTATGAAATATTTTCGCATTATAATGCCAGAGTGTGAATTTTTGTGGGTCTAACTAATGTGCTAGGGAAACTTAGCGATTTGCTGCGCGTCCGCGAGATCGCGTCCGCATGTCCTTTACGGTCAAATTTAGTTCGTTGGTTAACCTTGGCGTGTTTCAGCGTTACGAAAATAATCACAATGGAAAGACTGATGTAGCCGTCCAGTCTCTCATGGTTTTGACAGAAATCTCATCATTACTTCGTCAGTGGAGCATTCCTTTGGTGTTAAGTGATTTCCTTTTTCATTTATTTAGCCAGGGTTGATAACGGACATCAGGATGGACAAGGCCAGCAAAGTGTTACGAAGGTATGTACTATACTCTTTCATCATTGTGTCAAAGGGCATCATTCCCAGTGCAGGTATGATCGGTTAAAATTAATGTGCCAATCGATGAATGTTGGAAATTTGGAGTCATAAGACCTTAGTTGATATGATCAATTATTTGTGTTAATAACTGTATTGTTGTTTTAGTACATGGATTTCATAAACATGTCGCAATATCTCAGAAAAATGTCATTTTACATTGCAGGAGTAGTGTTCGAATCAGATCTATTGGTAGTGGACATGGTGAACTAAATTTGGTGATATCGGAACTTAAAGACATGAGAGTTGCTGCGAAGGCATTCCTCAATGCTCAACAAACAGCATCTTCAGAACTTCTACAGTGGGCACAAGCAGGAGAAAATAGAGCGATTCAAGATACTTTTGTATTTTTAAATGAACTAAATACACTCTGGAATGAAACTCAAAAAGACTTCACAGGTATGTACTTTAATGTTAGGAGAAATTATGTTACATTTTATATAAC